TCTGAGCATAATTTTGGAGATTATGATGCTCTCTGGAACTTTATTCATTTCTCTTAAGCTTTTGATTCTGTCTGGAATCATCTTCAAGGGAAGGAACCAGTGAAATGTCTGTTTTAAAATCCATCTCTGTATATTAGGCATCTTATCATTGATCTTTTAAATCTGTTTATTTTCAATATTCTGTGTGTTCCAATTGGTTTCATAGAATTTTTAGTTGTTGAAAACAAGGATACAGGAACATCAGAGAGCAGTAAGATGTCACAATGCCCATTCACAAATATATACACACACTATATTGGAAATAATCACTGCTTTAACTTTGCTACTGCCAAAGCCAGTGAACCAAACAAGGGTGCACACTTCATTAAAGAAGCATGGTATTTGACAGAAGAATACATTAATCTTTGCATCCAGTTGGATTCTGAGTATCAATTTCTTCAGCTGCAGTGGCAATGACAGGTTGATCACATGACATGCAAGACTTAAAAAGTTGCAAGAATTGCTCAAAAACTAAAAATTTATTGAAACCAATCAGAACATGTGGAATATTAAAAATCAACAGACTCAAAGATGCCGAATCTACAGGGGAAATTGGGAAGCAGATTTTTTCCATTGGTTCCACCTCCTGAAGATGATCCCAGACAGAATTGGAAACATCGGAGAAATGAATAAAGTTCTGCAGAGCATCATAATCTCATATATATATATAAAAGTAAACATTGAAGTCAACACTCAGAGGCGACAGGCTGTTTCATGCTAGACGCAATCATCAGGCTTTTATATTTATATTTGCATATGCTCTAACTCTGATATAGACCTCTTGATCCCATAAATATAGCACACCTTAAAACTATATATATATATATATATATATATGGTGTATTTTGTTAGCATATATATATATATATATATATATATATATATATATGATGTATTTTGTTAGTAATTTTTTCTATATTTCTGAAATTAAATTAAACTCAGTACTAGATTGACAGCAACGCCTCATCATTTTGCAATTGAATTGGCTAGATGTAACCTTAAATTCTATGCTAACCATTTCTTTTCTTGCACTTATTCCTTTTAGAATTCTCTTCCAGCTTCTTGCTTCTCAGTCAACTTTGATCTTCAAACATTTAAATGCAATGTCAATTTTTATCTGCTGTCTTCTTAATTCCTATTCTTTTATTGATCTCTCTCTCTCTCTCTCTCTCTTCATAATGTTTGTTTTCTCACATTCTCTCATACTCAAAAACTCTTCATAGCATTTTATTTATTTATAGCCTTGCTTGTAGTGAAATGATTAAAAAAAAAATTCATACTAACCAAGTAATGCTGGCCAAATATTCATGATTTAAACAATATATTGTACAAATTTCAGCTTATAATATCTATCTTGAATAAAAATATTGATTATTTATTCCATTAACATGTGGAATATTGTCTTCATCTTTGTTGCTGTTATCACATTTCAACCATTGTACCGTCTGGCTTTCATCAGGTGTATCCAGATTAATCCAAATAACCTACAGAAAATTCTGAAGTTAACTCTTTCTTTAATCCCAGGGAGCAGGAAGACTGTTCTTGTTCTACTGCCTTATCTCAGGATATTGTGTCTAATTCTTAGTTATTTGTATCGACATATATCTGATGAAGGCGAGAGGGAACAATGGCTCAAATATTGTAATAACATCAACAAAGATAAGGACAAGAGTCTGCATGGAAATATTGTAAATAATGATAACTCCTCATCCCAGAAATCCAGACAGAAAAAATATATTATTTCAGGGATCTTATATTTTATTATGCAAACAAAGCATAAAATAATTTTATAAATAATTTCTGCTTTTTTGCTCTCGCTCCTTAATAGTATTTTTTTCTCATATTGACTTCATTGCCTTGCTTGGTGTGAAATGATTATATATATATATATATATATATATATATATAATTACCTATGTATGTGAGAAAACTCAACCAATGAAACCAATATATAGTATTGAACAAATAATGAATTTTTCAACAAAGCAATTGCAGTTCAAGTAAGAGAAACAATATACTGAACCAAGCAAGGAATATTCACAATGGTTTTTCAATTTGACATTTGAAATAGAAATCCAAAGAAGAAACTTGAGAAAAGAAAGACATTTTTAAAAAATTTTACAAAAAAATGAAGACGCAAAAAGAGAGATCTGAGCAACTCATATACTTTCACTCTAACTTGTCTGACAAACATTTCTATGTTATGAGAAACATTACACACATAAAGAGATCATAACAAATATGGCCAAGATCAGCAGGCGGCAGCTATAGTAATCATTTACTGAGGAAGTAAGCAGGACTTGGATTGAATTACCAAACCTAAGAATTATCCAGAGACCTCAAATCCAGATTTCCTTCATTTGTTTTCTTTTAATTTAATAGAAATATTTGAAACAAAATTTAATTCTTTAGATAAGCAATGGGGTACTTATTCTCAGATTTTATAAAAACAATGGAAATGTTTAAAACGGAATTTATTTCATTCTTTGCATAATTATTTATTCATGGATTTTGAAAAAGCAATCAAAATATTTAGGATAAAATTTATTTAATAGCTTATATGAGGGTTGGGGGATTTATTTTCAGATTTTATAAAAGAATAAATGTTTGTAAGAGAACAGTTTTAATTCTTTCAATAAATGTCAGATATTTATTTGCAGATTTTATAAAAACAATAGAAATGTTTGCAACTTAACTAATACTGTGATACTATAGAAATTCATGTAGAAATAAAAGAGTTTTTTTTTTCTGTTTGATAGACCAGCAGATGGTTTCTTTTGAAGTTCAGTCTTCTAAGTGTCATCCACTTTGACAAAAGGGGAACAGGAAGTAAATGAGTGGATTAGAAGTTTTTTAGAGATCAAGTGGCAAGAAAACTGGAAATAGGTTAGATATAGCTGCTGGTCTATATTAAGAGTCATGCTTGGTATTGGAAGGGAGCTCTGGTCTGTCCTTGTTGGAAAATGGACACACCTATTGTACAGTACCAAAGTCTCCATTTGTATTGCCAGCCACCACATCAGAATGATTAAATGAGTGTGGAATTGTTAGGAAGAAGAGCTGACATAGCAGAAGTCATTGTAAGTATCACCTACTGAACCACCTGGATGATCAGGTGAAGCATGGAATAAAACATCTACATATACTATGGGAAAGAGGGTTCACATACTTATTTCTTGACTTGGCATTTATCTTTCATTGTGTTACCTTGTCAGTAGGCAGCACACAATTCCTCAGCTTTTGGTACACACCGATGAGATCAAAAATCAGAATGCAACATGGAGTAATCATTGGCCAGTCCTTGGAAAACTTGGATGAGGGTTACATTGTTTGTTTACAATAGCTTAGATAAATGGTATTTTCATTTAAATCTTACAGAAACAATGGAATATTTGAAACACAATTTCTTTCTACGAATGTTGACTCTGTTTCCATAGGTAAAAAGCTTGGATAAAATGATTTCTTAAAATGAACGTGGCCTTGTTGACACCTAGATGTTTTTCTATGAAAAATGTGTGGATATGACTGAATTTTGAACCTAACAGTATTAGAAACATGTGGTCTTCTGACATGAGTTGTGCACATCTAACAAGCATTGCTTAAATAAATATTTGTTTGTATCTATTTTAATGGCTGACTCATTGGTGAAGAAAAAGATGTTGCTGAGAATATGATCTTGAATAGCACAATTCTCAACAGGATTTAGCATAAGAAATTGGTGAAGTTCTATAAGAATTATAAGACAAATGCTTAGAAATATTTTTGAATATTTCAAACTAGATTGGATTTTGTGAAGGCTTCTGGTGGGAAATCAACTGAAAAACATTGACACTACTTTGTGATGCCATTGCTTGCTAAAATCGTTGGTTTTATGAGAAACCCATTATCTTTTCTTTTCATGTGTAATGGGATCCTATTTCATTGCAAAATCTGTCTGTTATGAAAAAATATAAATTATAAGAAAAACTATCATAAAAATTTTTTTCTTCTTTTAATAGTTTCAATTTCTTAGAGTTCCTCTTTTATTAGTCACATTTTAGAAGCCAAAAAACTCTGGTCTCATATATCTGTGGCTGCTTAAGGAGGATAAAGATGATGGTTTCTCTGACAAAAGCATATCTGGTAGTCATTCATGAGAGGTAAATTAACAATAAGTAATTTTTCAAGCCAAGCAAATAAAGGTTGGCTGTTTATGAGAGGAAAACTGTTTATGAGTTTGGGGCTGGATAAGTGTAGTTATTTTGCTGAAGAAAAAAAAATAACAAAAGGAATAGTACTTAAAGTATTTACATTTATGTAGAATGTGACCTCTCCCATCAGCACACCATTTTTAGCTTTTGACTCTGAAAGCAAACATTTTCTCTCACATAAAGAAATATACTTTGTCATCGTGGGGTTTAGTAAATTCATATCCCAAGCTATTACAGCTTATGGCCAGATCATGTTAAAACACTGGCTCCTGTACAAGCCTGGTCAGTACCTAGATAGATGTGCGGGTGGTTTAATGGATAACGACTTGGAATTGTTAATCAGAGTAAATTCATATACCAAGTTATTATGGCTTACAGTTACATCATGTTGAAACACCAGATACCATACAATCATCAAAGTTAAGCAACATTGAACCTGGTTAGTACTTAGGTGAGTGATTGCTTAGAAATACCATGTGCTGTAAGCTTAGATATGTGGGTGGTATAACATCTAATGGCTCAGAATTGTTAATCAGGGAGTAAATTCATATCTCAAGTTATTACAGCATACAGCAAGATCACATCAAAACACTGGCTCCCATACAATCCCTGAAATTAAGCAATGTCAAGCCTGTTTAGTACCTACATGTGCAGCCGCTAGGGAATACCAGGTGTTGTAATCTTAGGTATGTGGGTGGTGTAATGGATAACAGCTCAGAATTGTTAATCAAATAGTAAATTCATATTAAATCCATATATTATTATGGATTACAGCCACATCATATTGAAACACCGGTTCCTGTACAGTCACTGAAGTTAAGCAATGTTGAGCATGGCCAGTACCGAGATGGGTGACTGCCTGGAAATACCAGGTGCTGCAAGTTTGGATGTGTAGGTAGTGTAGTGGATAATGGCTTAGAATTGTTAATTGGAGAGCTGAGTTCCAATTAAAAGGTATGAATCCACCTCTTCTCCCACCAGCTATGGGTTAATTAGTAAGACATGTCATTAAAACAATTATTATCGCAGAAAAAAATTGTGTACAAAATATTTAAATTTCAGCATTAAATAACCCATAGAGGTGTTGATATACTGCTAAACAAAAACAACAAGCCAACCAACCAAGCTATTACAAGTGTCACATTGAAAAATAAAAAATGAGTTCCCACTACTTTTCATGGAAATTTTATTTTTGACAAAGACCAATGAGTGGATCAGCTGAAACAAGGTTTTCTCATTCAGTAGATATTCAGTTGTTGGAAATAACAATTTTAGGGAATGTATTTAATCAGCTACTTTACACCAATCACATTTATCAGAATGTTTGTGATTTCACAGAGAAAACAATATCTTCTTTAACAAACTTTATTATGATACTACTATTTTTGGTTGTAAAAATAAATATATTGCTGCTTTAAGAAGAATGAAAACATTAATTTGGATAACTTATACCGGGTGTAACAGCATAATTATCTATCCCCCCAAAATGTTTAATACCTAAAACAAAAACCACTGAACTAATTGAGTTTCTTTTTTCCAATTTTTCAAACAAGACACTTAGCCATCTTGACACTATTTTTTGTAAGAATCACTGAAAAACCTTTTGAATTATTCAGCTAGAAAGAGAACAGGTTAAAATTATTTTGTGCCAGATCCACTGTTTTCCCAACTGAGCAATGATGAGAGGAAAAAGATCATTCAGACCTTCAGTAATGGTACCAACATTCATACTCTGGCTTCCATCTTTAAAGTCCATTTACGAACCATCAAGAGAATGGTGAATAAGTTTAAAAAAGAGGGAACAGTAGAGAGGAAAACTGAATCAGGAGGTCACAACAGGAGGAGAGATCATCATTTCAACTTAGAGCTAAAGAGATCAATTAGAAAAGATCCAACTCAATTTATAAAATGTTTGGCACATCAGAGTGGCATTTCAGCTACAACAGTCCCAAGAGTAGGGAAAAAAACTTGAAAATGAAAGCATATGTGAAACGTGTGAGGCAACTTGTTACTCCAGGACAGAAAGTTAGAAGTTTAGAGTGGGCAAAGATTATCTTGAATAAGTTGGAAGATGATCCTGGAATAATATATATATATATATATATATATATATATATATATATATATATATATATATATATTTTAATCCTTCATGAGCTTCCGACTGAATGTCATTTTCATTTATGACTGGTTTCCTCACAATTCTTCTGTTCAGCTTTGAGAGTAATTATACATTATTATTTCTCAAAGAAGAGTCCAATAGTGTTATAAAAACCTCAGAGAATTCCAGTAAGATATCTTTAATCATTTCTAACATACAATGGTTCAGAACTTACTCTAACAATTGGACACCCAGTCTATGTATATTTCACTATTTAAAACTTCTTTTTGTATTTAATGCAAAACTTTACCAAACACTCCTGAATACATCATTTAAAAAGAAAAAATTATTAGAATATGATATTAAAAACGTGGAAAAGAAGAGTTTTGTAAAAATAATGGCTACAACTGGTTCATTTATAAATTTTCTTGATGAATATTTTTTAAAAGTGTGTTTCTGATTTCAAGAAAGGCAGGAAATGAGTTAGACAATTCATAATAATACGTGAATAATACTGAAATGAAAATCTCCAGGTTGATGAAGATGACTGAAAAGAAAGAGAAAAAAAGTAGGAAAAAAAAAAGAGCATGCGGAAGACAAAGGCAGAGTGATAAAAGTCAAATTCAAAGAGGAAAGAAAAAAGACAAAACACAGAGAGAGAGAGAGAGAGAGAGTGTGTGTGTGTGAGATAATGATAAAGAGGAAGAGAGCAAGAAAAAGAAGAAGGCAAAAACTAAGAGGATGGGGGAAGACAGACCAAAGGCTTTGAAAGGATGACAAAAACAGAGAGAAAAGGATAAAGAGAGAGATCCAGAGGAGAGTATAGACAGGGTGGAAACAGCAAAGAGTGAGATGGGAATAGAAAAGCAAGGGAGAGACAGAAAGTCAAAAGCAAAGAGAGAGGAACACAAGAGGAGGGTAAACACAGAGAGACCAAGAAGACAGTAGAAAAACAAAAAGGTAAATACAAAGAAAAAGGTGCAAGTGGAAGCAAAAGACAAGGGAGGGAGAGGCAAAGACTGAGGCAGAAAACAAGAAGAAAGAGACAGAAGAAGAAAAATGAAGAGGAAGAGAGGAATACATCAAAGACAGAAAGAAAAAATAACATAAGGAAAGTGGGAGACGGTGAGATGAGAGAGAGAGAGGAACACAAAGCAAGATGGTGGTAAAGATAAACTGAGAATAACTGAAAGAAACAAAGAGGTAAAAACAGAAGGAAGAAAAGACGAAAAAAGCAGAGAAGAGAAAATAAAAAGTAAAGTAAACCAGAAGTTCAGTCAAGACAGTTGATTCAGTGATAATTAAATGAGCAATGTCCTGTGAGATTAACTGAGGCAAAAACAAATTGTAATGTACCTACTGGCAAAAACAGTTTCAAATTATGCATAAGGCTTACTAACATTTTGTTTTATTGTTTACAGTTTAATTAAATATGGTGTCTCAAATATAACATGATCAAATTGTCACATTGAAAATGGCTGGTATGAAGAATTATGAGGTGATAGGATAGTTGAATATTTGCAGAAAAGATTTTTAATATATAGAAAACGTTTCAAGAGGAGCAAACAATTTAACCAAATCCAATTTCAGGAAGAAACCATTCAGTTCATGCCAGGAGAATCATTGAAGCCATCAAGAAGAGATTGAAAAGAAATCTACGAAGAATCATGAGGAATATGGTAAAAGAGCTGGATATTTCAGATAGGCTGTTAAGGAGGATTGTAAAAGAGGATTTAGTGCTAAAACTAGACAAGAGTCAATGAGAACAGCTCTCAAATGCCTCCAAATAAAAATGGTTTGGCAGAAGGAAAAAATCTTGGAGTTGATGCTGCGTGCCATAGATAAAGTCTTTGTTTTGTTGTATGAGATGTTTTTCACTCTAAAGTTTATGGTCAACTACCAAAATAATAGACTTTATGCCATTTCACAAGGAAACATTCCTGAAAGTGTAGAACACATTTCAAGCAACAGAAACCAACTGGTTCATGGTTTGAACTGCTGTTGCTTCTGATAATTCAAAATCCTCCTTGGTGTTCATTGAAGGAGTGAAAGTGAATAGCAGATTTTACCAGCAAATGCTGGAGAAAGAAGTGTTGCCCTGGTTGTCAGCTACATTAGGAAGTCATTATATCTTCACTCAATATAGCATTCCTGCAGAGTCAATTTAACACAGAACTGGTGCAAATGAAATTTCAATGGATACTTTGACAAGTCAATTTGTCCTCCATCAAATCCTGTTATTAATCCTATAGACGTGATTGATTAATTTTCTATGGCTTATCAACATATTGCATTTTATTTAAAGCCAGAAAATCTTTTTAGATTGTAAAAAATCCTTTTTTCTGAAATAATGATTTAGTGATATGAGTCTTACTAATTAACCCATAGCTGGGGAAAATAGGTGGATTCTTAGCTTTCCTAAGTTTATTTGCACATACATGAATATAATGAACCCAACTGGAATTGGAATTTGGCTTTCTGATTAACAATTCTGAGCCATTATCCACTACACCACCTGCACATCCAAGCTTACGGTAACTAGTATTCCCAAGCGGTCACCCATCTAGGTGCTGATCAGGCTCAATGTTGCTTAACTTTGGTGATTGTACAGGAATCAGTGATTTAATGTGATATGGCCATAAGCCCAGATTTTGCACTGTGGCCCATATTGCTGGGCAATGTTTCATTTATCTCATGCTCAAATGTGTCAGACTTGAAAGAAGCTGTTTTGATGTGTTTGGCACATTTTGAGGTGGTAAAGAAGTACTGCACTTCAGTTGAGAAGAGATTAATGTCTATGGTGAAAGCAAAGGGTTGCCATTTTGAACTGTAAATATATCTAAAATATTGTTAATAACTATAACAATTAACCTGTAACCTTACATTAATCAAAACCTAAAACTTATTTTATGATAAAATGAATGTGTAAATGTGTGTGTGTGTGTGTGTGTGTGCGAGTGTGTGACTCTTCAATCATTTATCGACATATGATTGTTCTGACAACTGAACAGCCTGACTCCCCACATATATGTTGAAGTAGATGCAGAATGCTGTAAACAAAGTCTCTGTTAGGTTGAATGAGAAATTTATTCACTGCGAAAGCTGTGGTCAACTACAAAAATGATAGGGTTTATGACACTACACAAGGAAACATTCCTGAAGGTGTTAGAACACATTTCAAGCAACAGAAATTAACTGCTGTTCTGAAGATTCAAAATCACTCTTGTTCATTGAAGAAGGAGTGAAAATGATTAGCAGGTTTTACCAGCAAATGCTAGAGAAAGATGTGTTGCGTTGGTTGTCAGTCACATTTGGAAGTTGCTATGTCTTCACTCAAAACGAAGCTCCCACACACATGGCCAATTTCACCCAGAAATAATGCAAGAGATATTTCTCTGGATTTCTGAAAAGCCAATTCGGCCATTACCAAGTCGTAACATTTAATCCTATAGACTATGCAATATGGCCTATATTGGAGAGTGAGGTTTCACATATCTCTACTTAAGCTCTTTTGATGTGATACAATTTGAGTGAATATGTGATGAAGAAGACATTTACTTTGAGATTAAGGGCTATGGTGAAAGCAAAGGGTGACCATTTTGAATTGTAAATATCTGTATAATATTGTCAATAAATATAACAATCAATCTATAAAGTTTTATTAACCCAAACCTAAGACCTTTTTGTTTATGATAAAATGAATAATGAGTAACTGCATATGCCATACCCTCTGTACATATATGAAAAACTGCTAAAAAAAAATCTTAGCTTGACTAAGAAGAAATTCAGAAAAAAAAAAAAAAATTCTGACACTGGTAATTGGTAAGAATTGGGGGAGTTCATTTAAACTTTTCAGCACCCCCTCATATATCAACCACAGTTCCATCTGACAAAAGATTACAGTAACAGTGCACTTATAATCAGCGTCATTTGTAAAGAAAAACAGAGATATGGAAACAATCAGCAGGTACACAATGATCTATAAATAGATTAACTCAATAATTACATAATTTCTTTTTGAATTTCTGGGGTGACCTACAGGAAATTCTGAACTGAACCCTTTATTTAATCCACAGGGTAGACTGTTCTCATTTCATTGTCCATGTCTAGGGACATCTTGTCTAATTCTTATTTTTAGTACTGTTCAGTTATTGCTCATCCTGTTTCTACTGAGTCCAAGTACACACTGCCTGGCACAAGGATTGAACTCACAATTACTATGTCACCTAATTTGTAAACCAATATTTTAATCCATGAGGCTATTGCTTACTGTAGGTTAACCAGATCAAAATACACCTGATGAAGGCAAGATGGTACAACAGCTGAAATGTTATGATAACAACAACAATGAGGATAATAATATATAAATAGTGTAGATAATAATTGTTTCTTGTTTTGCTTGTGCTTTAATATTCAGAAACAAAGTAAAAAAAAATATATACTTCTCTTATCTTGGGAGTGATAGTGGAGTGGTTTTCCCATTGCCTTCTGTCCTGAAGGGACATGGCATAGAGAAGAACATTTCTGTTAAAATCTTCTATTGCTTTATATAAGGATTTCTTGTGAGTAAATTTCTGTAAAGGCAGGCAATGCCTTTATATTCCCTGGCTTCAGCCATCAATCTGTTAAAATTTAGTGCTTCAGAGAAAGAGAGAAAAAGAAGGAGAGAGAGAAAGAAAGAAAGAGAAGCAGAAAGAGAGAAAGAGAAGTAGAGAGAGAATAGGAGAAACAGAGAGAGAGAGAAAGAAAGAGAAGCAGAGAGAGAGAAAGAGAAGTAGAGAGAGAGAGAGAATAGGAGAAACAGAGAGAGAGAGAGAGAGAGAAATAAAGAGAAGCAGAGAGAGAGAAAGAGAAACAAAGAGAGTAGGAGAAAGAGAAACAGAGAGAGAAAGAGAAGCAAAGAGAGAAGCAGAGAGATAGAGAGAAAGAGAAACAAAGAGAAGCAGAGACAGAGAAAGAGAAGCAGAGACAGAGAAAGAGAAACAAAGAGAAGCAGAGACAGAGAAAGAGAAAAAGAGACTTTCATTTTGTTGGCCTTTCTGTTCTCTCTTTTTCACCCCTTTTCAACTCAAAAGGTGGCAACACTAGAAAAGTGAATAGGCAATCTCTGGGTGACACTATAATGTGGATAAGCCGTATGCTTATTGTTGTGTCCTCTTCACAAAAGATTTGTAGCAGGTGACTGGCAACAAAGGAAATATATATTGTCAACAACACCAACCCACCTTTCTCTCTCTATTCAATTGAAAAGTGATTCTTTAATTTCAGGTTTTGTGTTCACAAATTCACACACCCCTTTTCACTACAAAGAAATGCTGCTGCACTCAAAGAATGATCCAAGTTAGTATTCTTGCACATCTACTGTAGCACAGAGGTTATCAAGCTTGTCTCACTGACCAATTTACAAGAATAGAAAGTGTGATCCTCACTGGGTGTCATCCTACTGCAACCATCTTCTATAATTAGCTAATCTTAGTAAATAATGTATTCAGTAGTAGGAACATTCTGAAGGCATTTGCTCATGCAATGATTTTGATAGTCACAGGGTTCTTCACAAATGTGACCTTGAGTCAGACTAAGACTAAGCAAAGTTTAGTGAAGTAATGACCAGTAAACAATTGGTCATTGAAATAAAACTGTTAACCATTCCATTACAGTAGGTCTTAAGAACCAGGCAATTTTTGTGAGTTCAATTCTAACTCAGTGCCTTATACTTATGACTTTGTATAGGAAGAAACTAAATAGCAAAGTATGATGAAGGATAACAAATCTGGTGTAATGATTGGCAAGATCGTACTGTATGACCAAACCTAAGTAGGTACTCTACCATTCCAATTTTGTAGCATAATAAATAAATTAGATACCTATCATAATGGAGAGATTGACAGTTTTATTTCAATGACCAATTCACAACTATAATGAGTTTGAACCTCACTGGGTATCCTACTATTATAATTTTGTATCATAAGTAAGTTAATCATAATAAATAAATTAGACACCTATCTTACGCCACTCCTCTAATTTTGTACTTTCCGAAAGTAAATCTTAATAATTAACTTAATATATTGGTTCAATGACCAAATCACAAGTGAGGTGCATTTGATTCTCACTAAAGGCCCCACTAAGCTGACCTTACTTATTAGCTAAGTTTAGCTTAATTTGGCACAAGGTCACAGTGTAGTGGATGTGGTGCACCCATGGGGACTAAATTTTGCACTTGCAAATTAGTCTACAAGGCAAGCCTGCTAGCTGTCACTCAAAAGGGAGATGTATTTATTTATTCTACTAAGCTTAATTTTGTACAAGGTCAAAGTAATGCAGCAACACTAAGGATCAAAACTGCTACTTATTTATCTAGTTCTTATTTACTAGTGTAATGAGTTCAGTCATCATTAAGTGCCTTAATATTGTAGCCTTGTGGTAGACTAAGCTAAGCTTTGTCAATATCAGTACTAAGCAAAGAATCTCAAAAATAAATTATATATATATATATAATTACATTATTCTGTCCATTACACTTGCATTAATTCTTGACTAATGACAATTTCTTTCTTCTTGATTTTCAATGTATTAATTTAGTAAAATCAATTACACTAATTTTACTTTATGCATATAGTACTGTTTTCAAAAAGTAATGCTTGTTTTAATTTCTGGCCACTGACAGTCATTTTTTATTACAGAAATAATAATTTTTTTTACAAAATGAACATGTATTTTCATGGATATCATTATTTTTATGCAATGATTATTAGTTTTTTCTATAATGAACATTTCCACAATTTGTTACAAAATAATTTTTTGAAATTAAACGCTTGGGTGCCCCAAAATCATTAAACATTAGACTCCTGTTGATAAAGGATTAGTAGAGTTACAAGTAAAGCTAACTTTAAATTTAGTTGAAGTTTGGCTTATTACAAAGTATTTCACCTTATTTATTTGAAAATAATTTTAATACAAATTGTATCAATAGGAAGTGATATGGCATTAAGTCTAATGGATGCCTTCATTAACATATATATAAGCTAAAAAGCAACAAAAATGATGTTACTATAGAAATGCACTGAAAACTATTTTTTTACAATAGAAATACATTGAAAACTTGAAGCTCAGACATGATGATGATGATATACGCATACAAACCAGTCAGATTTTTTGAATCATTAAGTTTATCCAGATTTATCCTAAACCAAAATATTCAAATCATAAAAATGTTTAACAGTTTTCTTTCAGTGTGCAGAGAAAAATCCTCTTTCTTGGTTGTATTTATTTAGAAAGAATTTCTAATCCATCCCCTTAAGAACCAGACCATATATTTATATATGTGTTAATCTTTCACATCTCCTGTGTTAAATCTAACATCATTTTCAAACTCAGTATCATGAACATGTGCATAAATAATACATGAAATATCTGTCATCTCCAATTTCAAACAGCTAAAAATCCCCTAACTTGTGTTCTTTTAGTATGTACAAAAAGTTTCATATTTCTGGTATACACAGATTTGGAGCTTTGTGTTCTATGCAAAATATAAACATTGACATAAATTCTTTATTAAAACAAATGAGAGAATGAAACAAATAAAAGAGACATGTTGCCTTCTTTCACCTTATAGATATATACAGTATGTATTCATAAAGATTTT